ATGGTCTACTGCTTAAAAGTAGTGGTGGTATCTCTAAACTACCGTCTACATAGAAATAAATTATTCTTTCACCTCCAAAAAGGAGTGTTTTTGCTTTCTTCCCTCCTTGGCATTTAGTTAACACTCATACTCAACATAGTTATCCTCCACGTGTATATCAAGCCTAGGAATAATCAAAATATGACTGCTTCTAAAAGTTTTTATAAAGGCCTCCTATAATTAATCGTCACCTCGAAGAGTCATGTGCCACCTTCACGACAGTCAAAAAATAGGGAATTTTTGTATTAATTTCAGATTCAACTCATAGTAACCAGATTTTGAGGCTATCCTAAGGTCTTTACTAAAACTTCTATTCACCTAAGTTCACAAAGAATTCTATAATTATACTCAAGCATAATGTTTTTAGCATTTAGAGATAAGATAAATGTTGTTATACCTTGTACTTCGTTTGAAAAGGTCCAATTTACGACATGGAACTAAGAGGGATCTCGTAAAAGTATTATATGATAGGTACAAATACTTCAAAAAAACAGCAAAATTATACTGTTTGAGTACAAACAAAATCAGATTTTGTTAATTGTTTTCCGTATGTAAGTAGAGTTTTGTTACTACCACTATCTTATATTACTTAATTATTGTCAAACACTCTTATTTATGAGGAATTCCAAGAGTTACAGGGGCAGATAAGCTATATGATGTAGCGTTTTATTAGGTTAAAGTGAATCATGCAAATAAAAGTAAGAATTTGGATATTAGAATCGCACATTTAGAATGTGTGCAGAAGGCATCTAAAGTAGAGGGGCAATGTGAATTGGTCAGAAATTGGTAAACCTATCCAGGGGCCTAAATTGTGCTTTGCCAAATATTAATAATTCAGCTGAGGAAATTACGTTTTACCGATCAGTTACAAGAGGAGACTAGTAGTGGTATTTAGTCACAGGTTGTTCTCCTAATTTATGGCAATTTATAAGCACAAAATAAGAGTCAGTGGATTAATAACATCATAAGGAAGCTTGGACAAAAAGAAAAAAAAAGTTTTAGTGACAGATAAGGGATGAGTAATTATGGTTATGAATAGAGCAGTTTATGTAGAAAAAATTATACAGAATTATAAGAAATGATCATAGCGAACCATAAAACATCTTTTAGTCAACTAAAGCAACTATTCAGATATTGACCATTTTCACTTATAAACTCTTACTTTTTTATTGAGTGAGATAATATGTTAGTGACGGAATAGGGAGATCTACTTATAGGTTTTTAATGAAGTCCCGATGCACGCTAATATTTCTGTAAGTTGGACCGTACAGACCTTAAGATTAACATTAAAAGGAAAAGATAGGAGCGCTGTAACGAATAATGCATTTTATCTCCTTTACAGTAAACTGTATGAGCGAAAAAGATTTTTTTTCCATGGGATCGTGTATGTCTATCAATTTTAAAGAATAACCACATTAAGAATCAACAACATAATAGCCACATGGGTTATATAAAGTTTCGGAAAGTTCAAGAAGCCTTTCTAGTTTCTAAGCCAATGATTAGATATATGGCCGACTACTTTGCTACTTGGCAACTTGGATAAGAGAGTTTAGAAGACTGTCTTAAGTTTATAAATAGAAAATATGAGAACCATTGATGCTCATCTTTAAGCATACTTAAGGAATCATGTAATGGGTTAAGAAAACAATGGTAATAAAAATTTTGCGTCTTACATAAACAGATAACCCTGATCAAGAATCGGAAAGGCTAATGACAATTTTAGGTAAGAACACTTATCCATTAGGATTAATTGTTATTTACTTCATGATGATAAGAAATAAGACGAGGGAAAACAAGTATTTGGAGTAAAGTCAGAAATTGGGAAACTTATCATCCAGAGTTCTGATTCTTCCTTCTCGCCAGCTTTAGAACGAGAAAAGAAGATTACTTAGAAAGTGGAAATTCACAATCGCGTATAAAGAATGGATAACATTTTCATTGGTCATGTCTACTATTTTAGATAATCTTTGGATCTCCTATGTTGATCAGGCTTTTATAAGGCTTTATGTTCCCACGGCAGTTGAGACATGACTCTTCATTTCAAATGAAAAGTTGGTTGAGGGAAACCCAGGAAAGGGTTTTCGAAATGAAAAGTCATGCTACAATACATCCCTAAATGAGTTTTTGAAACCCAGTTTTTCTCTATATCTCACGCGGTAGTGTCTCCGTGGGGGAGTAGGACTTGCCGACCCATAAGGAAGAGGTTATCTAAACACAAAGCCTCCATACAAAGTTTACAGGTCTATAATTCTGTCATGGCTGAAGATGTGGTCAATACAAGACATCATATAGAGTTGCATAAAAATCAACATTTTACGAGGCCTGGTGACATCACATGTAGGTAGAAATTAAGTACATATTCAACATTCTGAATTGAGAAATGGAAGAAAGTAAATTCTTAACATTTTCTTTGGCTATTAGAAATAATAAGGGAGAAGATGAGAGCAGGACGATCCACCAAATAAGTGAATGCGTGATTAAACTGAAATCTCATTTAGGCTCTACCATAACAAATGACTCAAGAGAATGATGAACATAGAGGACACATGCATAGGAATGCATGAACGTGACGGAAGCAAACGCTAACTAATAATGACTAGGATAGGCTTCTTTTGCCTATTTGACGAGTTGTATTGTGGTACTAAGACTGGCAAGGCTCATTGAAGCTATCGACTACGATGGTGGTGAAATGTCTGGGAATGTACCAAGTCCATGGTCCGACTCTGGAGAATATCATTGATACTATGGACTCCCGGCAAGATGTATTCATTTAGGTCCCCCTGACAGTACGACGAAATTGTAGAAACAATATCAATCAACTTATAAATAACTAATAAACGCTAGATTATTTATGTGAGAAAATGGTTGTGATCGCATTCATATCCTTTTCAAAAATCAACTTCATTCATTCGACTCGAGTAGCCAGATAAATGATAGGATGCCTCATCAAGACGATAAAATTGGGAAAAATAATTAAGTATGATCCCAAAATAGGTCAGATTTTTTGTTTAGTGTTTTAGTCACTTTTTCATAAACAATGATTTTGGCTATGAATATGTCTATCACTTGGCAGCCAAACTCTCAGCACGAGTTCAGCATGTCTGCAGGCACATCTCGAAGGCAATCTTCTTCGGTTTCCGGCGCGGCTGAATTACGAATCCTTTTTTCCCTACTTAAGGGACCCTTTAAACCTAGCTTCACTTCATGTCTGAGATAAGGTGATGCAATCGAATTGTATCCACAGTATAGTGTCCAGATTTATACATCTAAGAAGGACGAATTATATATGCTCACCCCCATCTGAACAAAACGGATGACCTGGGTGTAAGTAGGCCGAAAATGAGGATTATTATATGTCCCTATACAGATAAGGACGATGAATGTGAGAGCCAAACTCTAATAAAACTGAACCACGGGGCATAAAAATTTTTAATTAAGTCTGCTACTATTCAAATAGATGGCAACTTGCTTTGTGGAAATTCTATGAGGCAGAACCACTTGGAGTTTCAGCCTTCTGAGTTTATATTGCAAATGAGTAGCCATATGGAATTCCTGAGGCAAATCATGTAGTTTAAGCCTGAGGAGTTATAATTTTAGGAAGGGATAAAATAGTTGTAAGTGAATGGCAACGTGTAGTCGAATCGTGGGTATACTTAGAGGCGGATTTCACCAAGGAATGTCACCATAAATACTTTAAATAAATGCAGAATAGTGGCGTGTAACACCAGATTTAGAAATAGTCAATAGTGAGAGTAAATTTCGACCATATCGTATTCAAACTAGGGTGGACACAGTTCCTATTCCCCATCATAGAGTAGTACCGAAACCTACTAAAGATGTACATAAGTAAAAGGCTCGATTGTGACAGCAAATAGAAGTTTGCTTTGTTGGCACCCGTAGTAGTATGGCGTGGTGGTAACATGTAAAAATTATGCCTTAGACGAGGTCAAAACTGCAGTTATGTTCATTCTGGAAAGGAATAACTTTTTATATTAATCGTATTGAGTTATAATAATTTGCGACCTTCTAGTTACATTTTACTTTTTGTTGTTTATTCAGGGGATGAGGTAACCGTGGCTATTATTAATTACCTTTTTTACTCGCCTATATTCATTTGATCACACTTTTTTACAGTTTGTGCTATTCTTGAAGCAATCGAGACTTCTAAGCGCCTTCGACGCCACATAATCAGGCCCTTTCGGGAGCCTAACAACTTTGCCTCCTTCTGCTCAAATGTCGTAATCTCTACATCTTTGCCTTGCTCGCCACCAACGCCACCGACAACGAGGCCACAAGGGCGAGCATCAGCGAGTCCTATGCTCACTTTATCGTCTCCTCTTCACCGGTCTTTTGGTTGTCTTGAGGGGAGCCCACTAGATAGTGACTCTAGCAACAAGGGCAGTGAGACTATTTCAATCAATCCTCGTAGCATGAATATTCTACACCATCATCTACAGGAAGAGTGGCAGCCCCCCCCTCAAATAGGCAGTAACTGCGTTGAGGAGTCAAGTTATCCAGGATCGATGATGAGCAAAGACACATCGGGGGAGGAGAACAAAAGCATTTCTTTGGCTTGGAAAGCATCAGAATCCGGACAGAAAAGGGAGGTGTGTAAGGAAATAGCTTCGGATGAGGATGAGGAGGAGCCAAGGAAAGATGAAAAGGGGAAGATCAGAATTGGGGACCTGGCTCGGAATTCCGAAGATAAGATAGAAAAGGTAAGGGAAGAGGTGAAAGAGCCGAAAGTGGATTCGAAAGCCATAAGGGCTGTGGAAGAGGATTTAGAGGAGGACGAGAATGGTGGTCCTGAAACTTCTTTGCTTGTTATACACGAGGACAGAGGCGTGCGCTCCAGTTCGGCTGACTTGATTGTGGACGGGGTTAATCTTCGCGAGATCAGGGATTTTGCACGTATATTCAAGATGAAGAGACTAAGTCTCGGCCTTACACAGACGCAAATTGGCCAGGCCTTGACATCCACAGAAGGCCCGGCATACAGTCAGAGTGCAATCTGCCGGTAAGACTTACAGATCTGGGTTTTTTACGGTCACCTAAAAAGGTGTACAATATATGAGATGTAGCAATATGCTATGATGATAATCTTTTTCAGTGAATTTAACTGCATTCAATTATTTTACAGTTTTTTCGGGAAAATGTATTTTATAGTCTTGGTTTCATCTTTACTCACAGATGGGGTCGTAGTCATACCTGATCTTTAATTTTTTTGATATTTTTGACCATGCGTCGAGTTAGTAAAATGCATAAAGTTCCTTGCTTCAGATTCTGGATTATTGAGGATGAGTCCAATTTAAAATCAAAACTAATGTCCAGTTAAGATACAAAGGATATACGATATACAGGCAGTTAGACATATAGTCAAACAGGATCAAGTACTCATTTTTTATTACGCAAAGTGTACTATACTGGCTCCTAATTTAAGCGAATTACTATGATAAAACTAATTTTGTATTAAGTATCTTTTTATTTACCAATGACAAAATGGAGCCACATTAATATTCTTGTCATGCAAGTTTATTTGCCAGGGTTATAACTTTATGCCTAGCCAGAATTTTTCTCACCAAATAAGGCTTACTCAGATTGGTGGGATCAATTATTCAGTAAAAAAACACCAAAATTGATTCATTTATCTGCATTTTCTTTATTTATTAATTTGCAGCAAGAGAATACTTATCAATGCGTATACTTTAAATCATTTGAATCCAGAATCTCTTATTTTACCACATAATTTAAGATTTTCTTAGAACATAAATAGTTCTGTTTTATTCACCTCGCATTAAAGCAAGAGGTTGATACATTCTCGCGAATTTCTCTGGCATTTCAATCATCCTAATGGGTAAGAAAAATCTTGCTCGCCAATATTTCTAATGATCATTCTAATCCTCCTACTTTCTGACCCAACTATTCTTGCCATGGTACTATATCTCCGGAGTGCATATATGTGCTTCTAGTTATTTGAGCATGATCACACTGATCTATGCTTCCGGAAGGCAAGATCCTAGACGATAAGTTTCATAGTTGTATGAAACTTGGAATTACTGTCGGCCTTGTTTGGAGTTACTTATCCTATGCTACATCAATTGATGCTATCTCGCTTTATTTACCTCCTGTAGATTAACTGATGAGCTGAGGCGTTTTCATCACTTGGCCTTGAAAATTTGTATATTGATCTGATATTGTATTGAAACCTGAAAATTGTTTGCGACTATATGACACCAGAAAGTCCCAGCGTAGAAAGACCTTTTAAAAATTGCCATTGCTAGTAAGACACGACAGTCTCAGACAGGATACGGTATAAGATAACTGTAGGAAAATTAATTAATTATATAATCTAAGCTACAGTACTCAAATTTAACATAAATGCCATAGTAACTAACGTATAACTTTCATTGAAGTATTAGTATTAGTATTAAAGAAAAGCCCTATCAGTATAGTTAACTGAGACCTTGAATATATAAAAGAGAATGAAACATTTGTCTTTGGAAGACGTAAAGATTGCGAATTTATTAATATGGCAACTTGCGTAATAAGCGTAATTTTTAGATAAGCTCGTATATCTAGGGACTTAGTGATAAATTTCTCTTCTAAAATATTCTTAAATTTTTTCAGTTAACTGGTGCTGTTTAGGATGTGAAAAGTAATACAACGTAATGAAAGTATTCCAAATCGGGTATATACTTTAGGTGCACCCCACTGCCAACAATTTGCATATAATTTTTGTATATACCCATTTACTTTTGACAGTTTTAGTAGCAAAAAAGGTGAAGTAATCATGCTTAAAGGAAATCCAAGCCAAAATGGGTATTCGTTTAAAGATTGCTATATAGAAAATTTAGTTGTGAACTATTTTTGTTAGAACGCTAGCAAGCAGCGGCTTTTAAATGATCGAATTTCAAGACTTTAAAAGGGCTTAGTTGCCAAAATACTATCAATGATAGTTTTGTGAAAAATTTTAGTGTGGTAACACTGTTGGTGCAGTAAAATGGTGCTTCGGTTGGAAGATAGATTTAGGAGAAAAATATATATT